AGAGAATCTGAAAAGCTGTCTGGGAGCTTACACCTGTACCCGGTGAGCTTCCTCATCAGCATGCTAAGCCTGGCCTCCGAAAGCCGGGGAGAGAAATCTCGCAAGCACAGGAAAATAGACAAATTTCTCTCCTTCAAGCCTAATCTGATGATTTAAATCTATCTCCCCTAATGCCTCTCAGGTGTTCTAACCATCTTATGCCTTTTTAAGAGCTCTTCTGCAGGGAGTTAACACTAGCAGCTTCTCTTCTGATTAAACACATCTGCCACAAAATAGCAGGAACCTTCTGGACACAATACAATTCTCAGAACTTCTGATAGAAAATTTGCAGAAGGTTTTGCACGCTGGTGGGTTTGCTTAGACTTTGGAGAAACTGGGGGCAAAGTTTGTTTAGGGCTTCATGGCCTTTAAACAAAGGCAACCAGAAAATGTTGACATAGTGACATTACTGGCTAAAACATAAATTAAAAAAATTAAACTACCAAGGTGAAAGGTTACATTTCCAAAGAAAGCTCAAGTCATGACTATCGTCAATACATAAGTGAGCACACGGTTTGAGATTTTATTTAAGTCATTAATGAGGAAAATGATGTTACCACCAGTTCAAAAGAGGATCTAGATAGCAGACATAGTTATAGAATAAGAAGAGTGAAAAATGAATGTGTGCATGGAAGGCAAAACTCACCTTTCCCACAGTAGCTAGGGAAGTCACCCGAAACTGTGCGACAGGATTTACATGTCTACAACAAGAATTATTTTGTATGGCTATCAGTTTACAGAGTTGTAAAGCAACTCTGTAGACACAGAATGAGGTCATCCGAAACAGTGTGCTATTGGCGATGCATCGTTTTCCACGGAAGCACAATTATTTTTACCTACACAGACCACTGACAATCTTATTGATTGCTATATTCCCCAAACCTGGTACAGGGTAGAGGCTTCATAATTACTTGCTAAATGGATAAATGTCTATTATGTACTAAGCTAGGCCCTTCACATGCATCATCCCATTTAATCATCTCAGTAACACTTTGAGAAAAATATCATTGTCATTTCACTGATGAGAAATTTGTGTGACATTACACAGCTATTATGTGTCCAAGGTTGAGGGTGGAGGACAGGTGGAAGGTTTTGACCCAGTATATTATTTTTATTTACAGTCACTGTATCATTTGCCTCTAAATTAAGAGACTGTTTATATGTCACACTGATATACCACATCTCCTTGATGAGCATGATATTGGAGATCCTGGCTTTAAGGAAGACAAGGGAAGAGCATCACTCAGGAGAATCTAAGCCTAAGTAGGAGACATACATATGAGCATCTTTCTTGCAGCCTTGCAGACAAGCACAGCATAGTTACCGGCCCGGATTATTTCCCTCCCCTGCTTAGGTGCTCATTTCCCAGTTTCCATGAGAATAAAGATCAACGGATTCAACACTGTTTATATGTGTTGTTTATTTTCATAGAAGTCAGGACAGCACCTCAGAAAACAGCAGCAGCTAACATTCACTGCATGCTTACGATGACCAGGAGCCGCTGTCCCAGCAACATCAGGCGGAGACGATCCTCATCCCCCTTTTACAGCTGGAGAAAGCCACAGTGCATCCAGTAACCTTCACAACAACACACAGCTCGGTCTCAGCACCCACTGCTCTGACCTGTCCCTAAGTCACTCTATGTCTGCACAGGCTGCTGAGGTGGGTTCTGTCAACATGTCCTGATATTTTATTAGCCTCCTTGCGTTGTTGATTGCAGCCTGAAAGGGCACTAGGATTCCCTTAGCTTCCAGCACCACAGAGCTGGTAACTGCAGGCTGGCCCAAGTTCTGAGAGCTAATTCCTGGCTCCTTGGCACTTGTGATCACTTGGGAATTTTACATTCTTTCTTGGCCCAGAGAACAGGAGAGGGGAGTGGTCTTCTGAGGCCTCAAATAGGTGAGTGTCAAAACGAAGTGGACCAAATGTTAATCTGAAGTCATTACCTCTGATCCATTAGTCCCCAAATAATTCCCTTTCTTTTCTTGCCAGAAAACAGCTTAGAATGAAGTCATAGTATGTTTTTAGACTCGTCCGATGAAACTTGACCTAAATAATAGCTCAAAGCCGGCATGAAAAAGGTGTCAATAAAGGGCTTTACTTCTGTTATTGCATTTAAGTTTCACAACGATCCTATGAGGCAGGTACTATTAGTACCTCCATTTTGGGGATGAGGAAGTGGGGTTAAAGAACTTGCTTAGAATCCTTGCCAGGATCTTGCCCCAGGGCCCAAGGAGGGTGCCACAGAAAGCAATGGGACAGCTGCTTGAAATACATATCTCCTCCCCTTCCCTCACGTCACTCAGCAGAAAGCCTTGGGAAGTGGGACCATTTGCTCCACACGCCTTGAAGCATGAGATCTTCATTTCCGAGGAGCAATAGTCTTATCCTCTTCAAACCATTATAAATGCTTACCCTTCCCTCAAGGGTACCTCATAATTCTCACCCTTAATGAAAGATAACACTACTTTCAAATAAGATCACGAAAAAGGCTTCGCCCTGGCCATCACAGGCATTAAGAAACATTAGCGGACATTACCTGATGAAGGCTACCATAATCAGCCAAATGGTTCCTAAATGACTGATCGCTTTTAGGGGCGGAACAGCCGACCTTACATGGGATTTTCTTATATTCTTAAGGGAGGGAACTAAGAAATACAATCTAACACCTGAATTCTAAGCAAAGTTCCACCTCTGTCGTCAGGATTTCAGGAATGTTATCCAAATGGGCCATTACCTCCAGTTGAGGGGAAAGGAAGTGAATTAAGGACCTTTTTTATGCTTAAGTTGGGAGGTATTTTACGCTCTGTTAACTCAGCTTGAGCTACACTTGGGTGTGTTCCTTATATATTTAAACATTATCCACTTGGTCACCAGGACTCCATGATAATCTAGCTTAGCAATTTTTAAACCGCAGGGTTGTTGCAAATCCAGTTTCCTAAACAATTCGAACATATAAAATAGACAAGGAGTTGCTTTGGTTGAATGCCCGCCTTTACCCCCAGCACACTCTTATCCCCTGGGCAGCCTTGAGTGTATATAAGGGTTCCAAGGAGCACATTTCAAAACCACCCATCAACTCCTGCCCTAGGGAGGTAGGATCTGCCCCCAGTTCTCAAAGTTACAGGGCAAACACCGAACTGCAAATTTAAATACCTTCTGATTAATGCACCCCTTTCCAAAGTAATAGGAGTAAATAGAAACTATAGATAAAGGTTAGATTTCAGGAGAGAGGAAGAGTCTGTGAAGAGGCTGGGCAGTTGGAGTGTTGAGCTCCTCCAGAGCAAGCCACTTTCCCACTAGAGAATCACTTTTTTCTTAGGAAAAAGGAAGACTCTGCTCGGGCAGCATGGCTCCATGGTTAAGCACTGACTTATGAACCAGGAGGTCACAGTGCAATTCCTGGTCAGGGCACGTGCCCAGGTTACAGGCTCGATCCTTAGTGGGGGGCATGCAGGAGGCAGCCAATCATTGATTCTCTCTCATCATTGATGTTTCCATCTCTCTCCTCCTTCCCTTCCCCTCTGAAATCAATTATACATATACATATACATTACATATACATATACATACACACACACACACACTAGTACCCCGGTGCACAGATTCGTGCACATTGACAGGAAATTAATTAGGAGGAATATTTTAATATTGCTATTCGTGTCTTGCTAATGAAAAGAAAATAGGATTCTACGGAGTCTCCTATCTACCTACTCCAGGACTTTTGTGAGGATCAAATGAGATGAGGCACAGGAAAATGCATCACAAATATTTGGTTAAACTGTAAAATGTTTGCACCTGGCTATAAAGCAAGTCAGGTTCCTGGGCTGAAGAAATTCCAAGGAGGCTAGTCGCCAGGGAAAGGAAGCCAGGCATCGCTATGTGATGTCGTTACCCAGTGCCCACAGTGACCATTTCTGGGCTGGGCTGGGTTGTGGGCCGCATTTTGTGCCATGGGGTCTTGGCAGCATTGGCTAAAATTTGATGGGGTGTTGCTCCGGGTCTGTGTCCCACTTGGGGGAAGCCGAGTGTTGATTTGTCGGTGCCAGGTCCATGGTGCCGTTTATTTTTGAAATGGCCAGTGCGCATCATAGCAGCTCCTGCATTGAGTGTCTGCCCCCTGGTGGTCAGTGCATGTCATAGCTACCAGTTGGATGGACACTTAGCCTTTTATATATATAGAATTTTTAAAAGGAAGACTGTATTAGAATCAGAACTTTCTTCATGTTTGTTTCCTCCTGAAGCACAGAGCATATTCCTCAGTGCCATCTTTGATCACAGTGTTTGCAAAGAGGGCGGGAGGGAGGAAGGCTGCCATAGAAAGAGGCTCTCAGGGTGGCCGGGCCAGTGAGATCTGAAAGAGACCCCTTACTCGGATGGGCTCCTGCAGTAGGCCCGTCCTCTCTCCCTTGCCACCTCATTCTCCCACTGAGAGACTTGATCCTGAGGACTTTTCCAGTTCACTATACTGTCATATTTTCTGCTTCCAAGTGCTTCTTGATCACCACATATGTATCTCAAAGGCCCTTGAGCTAAACAGAGTCTTAATTTGTGTTTTGAAAGGTATTCATCTCAGGGGTAGTGAGTTAGTAATATTCTATATACTTCTAAATTTTCCTACTTAGAATATTTACTGATTGATCCTGTAACCAAATTGATTTGAAAACTTTCTTCCCTTTCTTTTTTCTAGGATTGCTTTTATTTTCTCTAAAATCCCTGAGCCCCTTACCCTGATCTCCACATATTTTTATATTGGACACTTGCAATCCATGGTTCTCTACAACAATGTCTTATGCTTGTTAAGTGGCATGGCTCACTGGGATCTGGAATTGACCACCCCTTTTAAAGGAAACCCGTGCCAGAAAATTTTAGCACGAAGATGCTGTCTCATTGCAAGGGTATGGGAAAGGCCATCGCGAAGGGGAGAGGGAGCGAAATATTCTGGATGCCGCATACTTTACCAGTTATGTCATGCTGCTTGAATGACTCGCTGTAGATCTGATACTGATTCGGACAATGTTTCTTCAACCACTTGCAGACATCCTGCTGAGTCCACAGAGCCACTGGTTTTGACAGCTTCACCGTAGACGACTATAAATAAAGAAGGAAAAGCAGGTCTGTTAAAGCCAGCCCCATGCCTAGAAAGGCACTACTATCAGGAGTCCTAGAATGCGGTAAAGGCTGCCAGTTGGAGTCCCCAGACATAAATACCTGGCCCTTGTCCTCCTAACCTCAGCAGACCTTTCCACACCCCCGGAAACCAGAAAGAAAAGCTCCAGGCAGGGAAGCCCATCTATACTCAAGTTATCATTGCGATGGGGAAAAGTCTCCAAGAAGCAGTGTTTTCTGATGAATACTCCGACAACAAGGCAATGGTGTTGCTAAGCAATTAATTAAACTTTAGGGGGAAAATAGCTGCCTCCAAGTGGCCTTTCTCTGTATTCCAAAGTGTCCACCGCTTGTCCTCTGGTATCTCCAGGGCCTAGTACAACACTGGTCCTGGCAGATGCTAATAATTATGTCTAAAATGAATGTTGCAGGAATACTGCATACTAAAAAGTGCAGGTCGCTCCGGCAGCTCTGGCTGAAGGCGGTTCTATAAAGTCTAGGAACATTAGTTATGCCACAGTGAGGGAGCAAGAAGTCAATTCTGCCAGCATGTGGGGAAAGGTAATAAGGTACTGGGAGCAGCTAGACCTTCTGTAGAAGCCAACTAGCCAAGGCCCTTTACTGCTCACTGGACCTTTCAAGGAGGTGTTTAGAAAACCAAACCAAGCAGAGGCACAAGGACCCCCAGCCTTTGACAGATGGCGGGTTACAAATACATTTGTAAATTATCAACAATTAACTGTGCTAGACACTGGTTCTCCTCACGGATCCCAGGAACTTGCCTGAACCTACATAAATGCTTAACTATCTATATTTTTAAAAATATTTTTATTGATTTCAGAGAGGAAGGAAGAGGGAGAGAGAGATAGAAACATTAATGATGAGAGAGAATCATTGATCGGCTGCCTCCTGGACACCTCCTACTGAGGATCAAACACACAGCTGGGGCATGTGCCCTGACTGGGAATTAAACCGTGACCTCCTGGTTCATAGTTCGATGCTTAACCACTGGGCCACGCCAGCCGGCCAGCTATCTATAATTTTTATCACTTGGATCAGTGTTTGCCAACAAAATAGGATTATAATATTGATAGTTCTTTAAAAGCTGTGGGGAGGCACACAGACCTGGCCATAAATATCACTGACCTTCTCACTGGGGATCATTTGCTTTCATTTCTCTTTCAATCTTTCGGAGTAAGTCAAGGGGAGAGCCTCAATTTTGTCTGAGTGTGATTTAACACCTTTCTAACACCTGCCAGCATGTGTTTGACAAAGAGAGGGGTCCCTTCAGCCTCAGCTCCTTCAACCGACAGCAGTCAATTTATCATCTAATAACTGTTCTGTTTTACTTTTATTATATCTAAGGTTGCTTTTATTTTATGGCAAATAAATCATGGCAAAAAAGAAATCTTATTTTGCTAGTACTGTCTAGTTCACTTTTAAAATAAACTTGAGTAGGTCAATTTTAAGAAAAAAAGAGTAAGGACACAACAGTGGAAATAATAAGATAACTGTAAAAATAGTGGACGTGATTCAAATTTGGAAAACAGTGCTCAGGTATTAGCTTTCATCGGTATATTTTCAGTTGTATGATTTTTTGTGCCATTATTTATAAAGCAATCACAAAAATGCATCACTTTTTATTTTGAGCTTTGGTAATATTTCTTCCACCCTTATTAAATGTGATAGATTTTATATATGAACACATATACACACATACACTTATATACATATATACCTATCTGCTTTTCATTTATCATGATTGGCTTTCCTCCACTGATATTTGGGGTTGATGTTCTCTCCCTTTGAATTTCTCCAGGGTCTGTGACCATCCTGACCAATCCAGTACAGCAGAATTCATGCTATCTGTGTTTCTGAAGCGTGGTGATTAAAACAGACAGTCTCTGCCTGGCTCACCCTCTCCGGCACTCTTCTTTGGAACCCAGCCACCATATTGTGAGGAAGCCCAGACCACATGAAGAGACTATGTGTAGGAGTTTGGGCCCATCACCCAGCTAAGGTCACAGCTGACAGCAACCACCAACACCATTCCTCAGACAAAGATGCAAACAAACTTAAGATGATTGCAGCCGCCAGCCTTCAAATCTTCCGGCTGAGGCCCCCAGACACCATGATGCAGAGACAAGCTGTCCCTGCTGAGCCCTAAGTGAATGCCTGACCCACATAATCCATGAGCATCATAAACAGTTGTCTTCCACCACTAAATTTTGGGGTAATTTACTTTGCAACTCTAGTAACTGGAACACTAAGTTATATGCTCAGGGAGGATAGAACTGTTACACCAGCTCTCCAGAGTGCCCTGCATTTAATAGATGCTCATACAGCTGCAATGAATAAGTGAATGAATTAATGACATGAAACCGTCCTCACTGAGTCTGGGCTCACAGACCTGCTGACTATTCAGCAGTTAATTTCAACTCCAGCCCTGCTGCCTTCCACCGACCTGTCTTGTGCTCATGTGGCTCCTAGTCAAACATGGTCTCTTCCTTCAACCCTCCATCCCTGAGTCAGATGCTGCCAGACATCTGCCCTCTGCTTTCCTTATTTTGATGACAGAGGAGGACCTCTGGCATGGATGATACAAATGAGTAAATGTTCTGTTGTTGCTCAATTTTTCCCTGTTTGCTGGTCATCGCCTCCTTTCCTTTGCATGATTAGGACACTAGACTTTTGGCTCCTTTAGCTAGAAATGCACTTACCACATTTCACAAGTCAGCACCTTTGAATCTGGCTCTTTCCTGCTCTAAAAATTTCCTTCAGATTAGCTGAATGAGTTCATAGCTGACACATCATTACCCTGCAACCCCTTGCAAGTTTCCTGCAAGTTAAGCTAATCACATCTCTTGAAAACTCCTAAAACCAGACCCAGAAGGCTGTAAATTAGGAAGGGAAAGGCAAGAGGATAAAGCTACTTACACATCGATATACCAAACGTCCTGGAGGGTCATTCTTTAACTTTCTCATTTCCTCGGAAACGGGGCACCCTCACACCAAGACGCTTAAGCCCATGCAACTGGAGGCTCAGAGGGAGATGAACTCAAACATGCCAAGTCATCTCAGAACTCAACCTCACCAGCCCACCAGGTTTGCTTTCGTTATAAATTTTCCTTTTATCACAAATCCAGGTGTTCTAAGGCTAACACTTAAAAAGCGGGTTCATTTTTCCTTCAGAATATACTCTTGCTAGGTGGTCACCTGGTTACCACTTGCTTGGACGGCAATAGACACAGAGCTTTAGACATAGATTTTTAAGACTGTGTAAACCTACAGCAATATACCTCCACATAAACTGCTAGAGCAAATAACATGGGGAGGAGTAAAGATTTCTACTATGAATAAGCACTGCTCATCTCTCCTCAGTCAGACAGTGATAGAAGTACTGGCTCCATTTCTGAGCTGATTCTTTCCCGTGACTTTATTATGGAATTGGTATCAGTTTGCTCCACATTAAGAGCCACGGTGACTCCCGCTGCCCTAGTCTGGATCCTCAGAGCACTCATTTGTTCTGCTCGAACTTCTTCCTGTAGCCCCCACAGGTGCCCTCAGGACTTCTCCAGTCTATCAGGATGCCCCATCCCCAACAGCAACCAAGTTTGGGGGAGTGAACGTTATAACCTGATTCCTTTAAAAAGCTTAACCTTTATGTCTATGTGCAATTTGAGACGCCACGCATTTGTTCAACTCACATCAATCTATGTTCCACACTGTCCCACTGGGCGGTGCAGAGCAGTCAAATCTCAACAGTTCCATAGTGACTTGAACTTTTATTTGAACCTTTCCTCGCCACCTCTCTTTACGCCCAATGGAAGATAATTTTGTCTGATGTGCCATGTTTTTTTTTTTCACCCACAATAGGAGCCTAAACCAAAATAATAATAGTTCATAAAGCAAAGAAATAGTATTTCATATTTATTAGAAAAAATAAACTAATAAAAAGTCCTGCACCTATGCAAACATTAAAAAAAACATTGGCCCCAGTTTTTCCCCCCATGTTCAGTCTACTACAGCATTCTCTGCGTTTACAGCTCTGGAGGCAATTTTGGTTGCTTTTGCTGCCCCAAGAGAGGCCGGAGGCAGTTTGTTATTTTAACCTCGATGCATCCTGACTCCAAGCGGGACGGCAGGGATTTCCTTTCTGAGTCAGTTCCGGCTTTTCTATAGACAAGCTGAAAGTCTGTTTTACACCAAGACCTCACTTTATGCAAAAGACACATCTTTGTTTACAAATTACTTTTTTTTTTCTGCAAATGATTCCATTTTAGACAATAATTTCAGCTATGCTTTACAGTAATTTCTGATTTGTATTTAACTGGAAAGAACTCTCAAGTTTTAAGTTCTCTGAGGTAAACCTGAAGCTTTTCTGCTAATAAAATAAATGCTTTAAAGAAGTTTGCTATGGAAAAAAACATATACAAAACACTTTTAAAAGTTGAATTTTGTAACCCAATTACCCCTTATCTGTTTTGCAATATAAATTCCCTTTTAATTTATTGGGTTTTGATTTATAAGAGAACACTGCAATTTTAAGCTCCCGATGGCTGTACAAACTCTTAACTGGGTAAGCTTACACGAGGCTGAGTTGATTGTGGAAAAATAGAGAAAGCATAGTGTTTACACCCACTAGAAGGACAAAGAAAGCTTTATGGCCAAATATCAAGAAGTGGTAAACACATTTGCAATGTCTCATTTATAAGCAAGAATCATTGATCGGCTGCCTCCTGCACACTCCCTACTGGGGATCGAACCCACAACCAGGGCATGTGCCCTGACGTTGAATGGAACCGTGACCTCCTGGTTCATAAGTTGATGCTCAACCAGTGAACCACTCTGGCCGGGCTCATTATGTAATCTTACTTAAGACTGAAAAAAGGAAGGAGACTGGAGTGGCAGGGCGTGGGGGAAGAATAAGCAACAACTCATCAATGTCTATTTTAGCAGGATTTAATGGCCTGTGTGTGTGT